GTACTCAGGTGAATTCATGGGAGCTGGCGGCATCAGATCGTTCCATCTCTGGATCTGTTTTCCATCGGATTAGTGTGGACGAATTCTGCATTCACAAGGAAAATGACTCGAATCCGTACTAGTGTGGCCTTAGTGTGATGTGCAGCACAGGAGGAGCCCACAGCATGCAGAGCTTTGTTGTCATGACATTTTTCAAAGATTATATATTATATATACTTACTTACTTACATTGACAGAAAGAATATTCAGTAAACAAAATCAAACATGGTGAGGGCAAAAGTGTGAGCTGAATCTCCTTGCCATGGTCTCGTCTTGTGCCACCTCCATAAATAAACATTATATAAAAAAAAAATACAAACTCAATCACTCAGTGTTTCCAAAGCCTTTCCAGCCTTATTCCTCCTCGGTAGGGCTGGTATCATTAAGAAGTTGCCGATACAATATATACCTCGATACATAGGCCACGATACGATACATATCTCGATACAGTGAGCTTTTTGATTCGATACGATATATTTCAAATCATTTCGATACAGTTCAATAAAAATAAAGGCTAAATCATGACTGTGATACTAAAAGTCTTTGTTAAACCAATTCTTCTGCAAAGTTCATATGAAACACAAACATTTTAATCATCAAAACAGTGAAAATGTCAAATGTGTCGCATAAACAAGTTTCCTTCCTCTAAACAAGTAACAAAACTGTAGCTGTAACAAAATAATTTAGTAAAATACGCAAAAAAATATCAATGTTTGAATATTTTTGCACACCACTACTCCTCAGGATACAAAATTTTAGAAAAAAAAAAGATGTATGCAAGTTTGAGTATTTTAGAGATCTCTCCCAGGTCCTATTCAGACTGTCTTTATGTTTAGCTGTAATAACTGTACAAGGCTCCGCCCACAAGCAACTCTCCATAAATATACAAAAACATGATACAAAACTGCACACAGCGACTTCACAAACCTGAAGTCCCGATGTGCGGTAGTTTCATTAGTCTCATTCATACACGCTGACTGTGTTGTGATAGCGCTCTGAAGGGGGAGTGACTAAGCGCGGAGAGCAAAGGGACGGGAGACTCAAGTACAGAAGCCGAGAGGGGTCACAACAAACGCAAACGCCGCAACAAATACAAATGCGACAACACAACAAAAAGCCACAACACACCAAAAAAGCCACAACGGGAATGACCACGGGACTCTATTTTAATGCAAACGCTGCAACAAATACAAACGCCACAACACAAACGCAAATGCTGCAACACATCAAAAAGCCACAACAAACAAGCCAAACAACAAAAACAGCCACAACAAACCAAAAACAGCCACAATGAAATGACCGCGGGACTCATTTTAATACAAACGCCGCAACAAATACAAACGCCACAATGCACAAACGCAAATGCTGCAACACATCAAAAAGCCACAACGGAAGTGACCGCAGGACTCTATTTTTATTTTTTAAACGTAAAGGAAGAAGAAGTTGGAAACGTAAGTAAAAGTAATTTATTGTTTTATCATTATTCGTTTCACGTTGAAGTTCTTCTTCTTCACTTGCTGCTTGATCGGTCCGTCGGAAAATAGAGTCCCGCGGTCACTTCCGTTGTGACTTTTTAATGTGTTGTGGCTTTTTAATGTGTTGTGGCTTTTTAATGTGTTGTGGCTTTTTAATGTGTTGTGGCTTTTTAATGTGTTGTGGCTTTTTGATGTGTTGTGGCTTTTTAATGTGTTGTGGCTTTTGCGTTTGTGTTGTGGCATTTGTATTAAAATAGAGTCCCGCGGTCATTTCGTTGTGGCTTTTTTTGGTTTGTTGTTGCTGTTTCTGGTTTGTTGTGGCTTTCTGTGGTGTTGTCGTATTTGTATTTGTTGCGTTTGTGTTTGTTGTGACCCCTCTCGGCTTCCGTACTCACGGCATCAAAAACGAAAATGAAACTTAATAAACGATGAAAGAGTAAAAGGTAACATGTTGATGAAAATGTGTGTTTGCAGTTGTAGCCCAGAGAAGTCAGATCCCGCCTTTCGGTTTGGCTGTGATATCGCGCCGCTCTCTCCTCTTCCTCCTCTTCCTCCTCTCTGTCCACTTGTGTTTGCGTCCGTCACATGTTCCCTCTGCTCCGGCGGACGGATAAGACGCTTCTAAACTCCCTCAGGAAATGAAGCAGGGCGCAGCAGAGGGGTCAGAGGTCGCGGAGCACGTGCAGTCTGACCCCCGGGGCGTATAGGGGGGGCGCGTATGGATGTACGGAACAGAAAGTGTGTCGTGAGTCTGGGGATGCGACCTGTTGGCTCCTGCAGCGCCTCTAGAGGGCACACACGAGCAGATGGAGGGAAGAGCTACAGCAGAGAAGAAACAGGTTTGACTAAAGACTAAACCGGGACTAAACCAGGACTAAACCAGGACTTAACCAGGACTAAACCAGGACTAAACCAGGACTAAAACTATAAACCAGGAGCTAAAACAGGACTAAACCAGGACTAAAACCAGGACTAAACCAGGACTAAACCAGGACTAAAAGGACCCAGGACTAAAACTAAACCAGGAAAACTAAAACCAGGACTAAACCAGGACTAAACCAGGACTAAACCAGGAAAACTAAACCAGGACTAAACCAGGAAACTAAAACAGGACTAAACCAGGACTAAACCAGGACTAAACCAGGACTAAACCAGGACTAAACCAGGACCAGGTTAAACCAGGACTAAACCAGGAAAACCAGGACTAAACCAGGACCAGGTAAACCAGGATAAAACAGGATTAAACCAGGATTAAACCATGACTAAAGCATGGCTAAACCAGGACTAAATCAAGAGTAAATCAGTACTAAAATCAGGACTGAATCAGGATTAAATCAGAACTAAACCAGGGCAGAACTAGACCTAAACCAGGATTAAACCAGGACTAAATCAGGTCTAAACCAGGACTAAACCTGTAATGAACAAAGACTAAACTAGGATTAAACCAGAACTGAACCAGGATTACACCAGGACTAAATCAGGACTAAGACTAGGTCTAAACCAGGACTAAATTAGGATTCAACCAGGTCTAAACCAGATCCAATCTCGTAGTGAATGAGCCGTAATTGTCACTTCAGATTGAATGTCAGAACACAATAGAGAACTGTCGGAACTCATCTGTAACATCCACTTTCATCTGCATAATGAGCCTCACAGAACACACGGACCACAAACACAATCCTGACCAGAACTGCCCCGGACTGAAAAGACCCGATTTCCCCAGAACTCAGTAGAACATTATGGAAGATTCACTGTTTCCACTCTAAATGTCAGATCCACAAATGTTTAACCTTCTCCTCATTTTTTGGGGATTGGTTATGAGATAAAAAGTGGCACAGAGATATTCATATTTTAACATTTTTGGAGCTTTCTACCATGTTATACCCTTGTCCCCTCATCAAAACCCCGCCTGAACAGAGTGTAGATGTCATCTATGTATGTTTGAATAATTTAGCGATCTCTCCCGGGCTCTATTCAAACCCTCTTCATCCACAACCCTACGTCACCCATGCTCCCACAGAACAATTCTTCAAAAATATGGAGATGGAGATGTTATTGCTTTATCTGGAATGTTTCACAGTATGGCATTAAACCTTTCTATCTTGATGGAGACCAGACTAAGACGTCAGATCTGCGAAGAAGCGACTCCGCTCAGTCGGAATGGTGATGGCTGGTGCCCGAACTTGCACTTCCAGGGTTTTGACGAACCATCTAGTGCAGGGGTGTCCAAACTTTTTTCATCAAGGGCCACATTTCTAAACACAGATGAAGCAGAGGGCCGATCAAGGGCCGTAGACTGAGGCTCAATACAGTGAATAATTGAATTATGTGCATGTTTATCACGTTAGAATGATCCAGTCTTTATTCACGCTAAGATCCTTAAAACCACACACTAAATATTAAATATTAGCTTTATCAAGGTAGATTTTCAAAAAAACTTGCAGAAAAAAATAAATTTAATTAGTGCAAGGTCATTTGGGCCAATTCAACTGGAAGTCTGAGGGCCGCATTTGGCCCCCGGGCCATAGTTTGGACATGCCTGATCTAGTGTATTCTGATTCCTGATCTAGTTGCTGGAGAGAAATTAAATTGAGCAGAGGCACTAGGTGGTGCCAGCCTGGCTAGTGTAACACCTCGTCTTTAATCATAAATAAAGTCAACACATTTGCAATCTGACACTTAAGGCCGTTACACACTTCAGAATTTTTCAATCTTGAACAATTTTCAAAAGTGCAACAAAAGGCACACAACACAGACATGGGAGAATCTGATGAGATTTTAAAAATCTGATCTCAAAGACTGCAGCAGGATCTGTCTGTGGACCACAGGATATAAAGTTGTTTTTCCTGTCATGTGTAAAACCAGTCGCTCTGAGACTCTTAAGTGTTTAAAGATAGTTCTAGTTTAGATACAAGACAAAACTGTGTGATTATTATTTGTGAAACATGGTGCAAAACTTCAGATACATGTTTTTTAGAGCATAAAAGAGGTGATTAAGTCCACAAGAAGTAGAGTCACTATCGCTTCACTGCAGCTTCACCTCGATCCGTGCGCTGTGTGGATGTAAACAGAAACACGTGAGGAACTATCTCGCCTTTTTACTTTTAAAGAATAACTCAAACTGGATTCACAGAGCGGTTCTGTGGACTGCATGTCATTATTTGCAGAGAACAATTTCTATGGATAATGTGGCGTCTCTTGTGCAGACAGTTTCGAAAGGTGTTGGCATAAAGGGAAGCATGATGATTTAATAATATTACACAATTATCACTTTAAATCTATAAAAGCTATAAACAGTTTAATACTGTAATCCAGAGGGTGTCCTGTGGTGTGACAGGAAAAATCACACATGTTAAAGGACAGTTATCCACAAATAGAAGAGTCATTTATGCACCAGGAAGAACTCTGGGCTTTAAGATACAGAACAAATTTAATAATCATCATCTTATTTTTTAAAAAGTGGTACTTTTTTGAAAAACTTTGAACCTGTGCCAGTGTGATGTCCAGCCTGATTCATCAGTTTCCACGCAGTGTTAGAATTCGTTCACTGGACAGTAGGTGGGTACTTTTTTTCATTTAACCAATCGCTGTTATTTGTTTGTGATGTATGTAATGCTCCGCTAACGGGACTAACTGGTATATGAAGCTTTTCCCAAATCCTGTAGGAAGAAGAACAATAACGTCTTTCCCCTTCATAATATTCACCAAACATTCACTTTATTCAGGTTTTAAATCCTCCATCTCGGGAATCGTTGACAACACAGAATGTGTGGCTCTTCACTGATTGGCTGGTGCCCGGACTCACACTTCTGGGGTTTTTGCAAATCATCTTGTGTAAGTAAGTCTTTATTTATATGTACTTTTTTCACAGACATTTTCTGTCCCCAAAGAAGCTTTACAGAGCATTATTCATTCAGCATTATTCACTCACTCTATACCCAACAGAAGCACGGCTGCCATGCCAATCGGCGCCATCGCTCCGACCACCACCATCACTCACACACACACACCACTTTCATACTAGGTGTGCCTAAGGACACAATGATTGAACTGATTTTATTAAACTGACCTTAACTATCAACTGTTCTGGGACCTGGAGCATGTTTTGGGTTGATGGGGGAAACCGGAGCACCCGGAGGAAACCCATCCAGACACAGGGAGAAACATGTAAACTCCACACAGAAAGGCCCGGGCGACCCAGGGATCGAACCCAGAACCTTCTTGCTGTGAGGCATGAGTGCTAAACACTCAGCCACCGTGCCGCCGTATTCTGATTCCTGATCTAGTCGCTGGAGAGAAATGACATTGAGCGGAGGCACTAGGTGGCGCCAGACTGACAGTGATGTTGTGATGTATATATATATATATATATATATATATATATATAATATATATATATATAATATATATATATATATATATATATATATAATTACATTTATAGTAAATGTCCAGTGGGGTGACAGCAGAGGTCACATTAAAATGTTTCAAATGAAAAGAATTACACAAAAAATGTCGTGTTGTGAAAAGACATATTTACAACTGTTGTAGAGGTGCGTGTCACACTGCAGGACAGAAAAAGGCGTCACACACCAGACGTCAAGTGCACAGATCCTCTAATGTTGTTGTATCACGTGAACTCCATCTATTTTTATCCACATTTGGTCCTGGGTGATTTCTGCAGCTCTGAGTTTGATTGACAGCTCCTCTCTGCTCTTACATAAGGCTCGTGCCGTGACGAGATGTGACGAGACGCGAGGAGGAGGCGGCGCTCATCTGAAGAGACAGGAAACCGCTCCGGGAACCACTTCCTGTCCACGTCAAAGGTCACGGGGTCAGATCAAAAATGAGTGGCATGATGGAGGCGCGTCAACATCAACAGATTTTACACCAAACCACGAGGAAGTACAACCAATATTTGTACTGGGAGAGGAGAGGAGACTAAACCAGGACTAAACCAGGACTAAACCAGGACTAAACCAGGACTGAACTAGGACCCAGGAGAACCAGGACTAAACCAGGACCAGGACCCAGGACTAAACCAGGACTAAACCAGGACTGAACCAGGACTGAACCAGGACTAAACCAGGACTGAACCAGGAAACCAGGTCTAAACCAGGACTAAACCAGGACCAGACTTAAACCAGGACTGAACCAGGACTAAACCAGGTCTAAACCAGGACTAAACCAGGACTAAACCAGGACTAAAGGACTAAACCAGGACTAAAACCAGGACTAAACCAGGACCAGGACTAACCAGACTAAACCAGACTAACCAGGAAACCAGAAACCAGGACTAAAGGACCAGGACTAAACCAGGACTGAACCAGGACTAACCAGGACTAAACCAGGACTGAAACCAGGACTAAAACCAGGACTAAACCAGGACTAAACCAGGACTAAAGGACCAGGACTAAACCAGGACTAAACCAGGACTAAACCAGGACTAAACCAGGACTAAACCAGGACTAACCAGGACTAACCTAAACCGGACTAACCAGGTCTAAACCAGGACTAACCAGGAACCAGGACCAGACTAAACCAGGACTAAACCAGACTGAACAGGACTAAACCAGGACTAAACCAGACTAAACCAGGACTAAACCAGGACTGAACCAGGACTAAACCAGGAATAAACCAGGACCAGGACTAAACCAGACTAAACCAGGACTAAACCAGGACTAAACCAGGACTAAACCAGGACTAAACCAGGACTGAAAGGACCAGGACTAAACCAGGACTGGAAACCAGGACTAAACCAGGACTAAACCCAGGAAAACCAGGACTAACCAGGACTAAACCAGGACTAAACCAGGACTGAACCACTAACCAGGACTAAACCAGACTAAACCAGGAAACCAGACTAAACCAGGACTAAACCAGGACTAAACCAGAAACCAAAACCAGGACTAAACCAGGACTAAAAACCAGGACTAAACCAGGACCAGGACTAAACCAGGACTAAACCAGGACCTAACCAGGACTAACCAAGACTAAACCAGGACTTAAACCAGGACTAAACTAACTAAACCAGGACTAAACTAAACCAGGAAACCAGACTAAACGAGGACTAAACCAGGACTAAACCAGGACTAAACCAGGACTAAACCAGGACTGAACCAGGACTAAACCAGGACTAAACCAGGACTAACCAGGACTAAAAACCAGGACTAAACCAGGACTAAACCAGGACTGAACCAGGACTAAACCAGGACTAAACCAGGACTAAACCAGGACTGAACCAGGACTAAACCAGGACTAACCAGGACTAAACCAGGACTGAAACCAGGACTAACCAGGACTAAACCAGGACTGAACCAGGACTGAACCAGGACTAAACCAGGACTACCAGGACTGACCAGTCTAAACCAGGACTGAACCAGGTCTAAACCAGGACTAAACCAGGACTAAACCAGGAAAACCAGGACTAAACTGAAACCAGGACAAAACCAGGTCTAAACCAGGACTGAAACCAGGACTAACCCAGGACTAAACCAGGACTAAACCAGGACTAAACCAGGACTAAACCAGGACTGAACCAGGACTAAGGACTAAACCAGGACTGAAACCAGGACTAAACCCAGGACTAAACCAGGACTGAACCAGGACTAACCAGGACTTAAACCAGGGACTAAACCAGGACTAAACCAGGACTAAACCAGATTAAACCAGGACTAAACCAGGAACTAAACCAGACTAAACTAAACCAGGTCTAAACCAGGACTAAACCAGGACTAAAACCAGGACCAAACTAGGACTAAACTAGGACTAAATCAGGACTAAACCAGGAGTAAACCAGGACTAATCTAAACTAGGACTAAACCAAGATTAAACCAGGACTAAACCAGGACTGAACCAGATAAACCACCAGGATTTAATCAGGTCTAAACCAGGACTAAACCAGGACCAAACCAGGACCAAACTAGGACTAAAACAGTCTTTCCTTCTTTGTCTCCCTCCGCTTCTCTCTGACGTTGTGAGATTAATCACGACAGAACCAAAATCACATTTGAATGGATGAAATCAGCAAATCACAAAGACTGCAGTTTCTGAAGCACCATCACGTCCTCTACAAAAAACAAAATCTCCTCTTTTACTCGGCATAAAAACGGTAAATTTAGACGTCTACAAACATGGGCTGAAATGTGATTCTTGTATTAGTTTGTCAGTTCAGATTTGAGTCTTTTTGCTAATTCTACTGAATGTGAATGTGACCTTTTCCTCCAGGGCAGCCTCCAAACTACAGGGTGAGCAGCTTTTACACTGTGATTTGATTGCAGTGTATTGTACAGCCTTACTTTCCCTCTATCTCCCTCTATCTCTCTCTATCTCTCTCTATCTCTCTGTCTCTGCCTCCCTCCCATCCCTCTTTCTTTCACATGTAAACCCGTGTTCCTGATGAAACCCACTCCCTTTCTTCTCTCTCTCTTCGTTTTGTCTCTTCTCTGCCTCTCCCCCTCTCTTCTCTCTCCTCCCTCCTTCTCTCTTTTCTCTCCGTCCGACCTCTGTCACAGATAAACACGACTTAGTTACAGACCTCACCGCCTGAGTCCTGATCCATCAGACTGATGCGCTCATCGATTTATCGACGTTTGGAGCTCAGTGTGAGTCCACAAACTCTCCACAAACACAAACAGCCACAGCAGCAGCAGCAGGACCAAGGTGAATATACAGGTGAGTGAAAACAAGCATCAGTATCTTGATAACTCACAAACTCTTATCTCACTGATGATATACACACCACATGTTTAGCAGGTCTTTACTTCTAACCCAACTTGTGCTGCAAGATCAATTCTCACTATAGTTGAAAGTTCAAAACTCATGAGAATCCATCTGGTCAGACTGCTGCTGCGGTGACTGGGCCGCACCATCAGGGCAGAACAATCACTCTGACTATTAAGTGAAATACAGACAGTTTAGTTTGTGAAAATCGTGCAGACAGAAGCGCTTTGTGCAATTTTGGAGGGAAAGACATATGTGCTTTTCTCTCAACTGGATTTAACTGAAGTTTGATTTGGTTGTGTTGGGATGGGCACGATTAGTCGATTAATCGATAATTGATCATTAAGAATTTCATCGATTACAGTCATTTTTAATCGAGAAACCAAATGTAGGTTGCTGTGTGTAGTGAAGGGTGATGAAACGTCCGTGTCCGGGGACAAACGGGGGTCCAAACATGTAGCTCTCTGCACTCAGACGGAGCGAGCAGACAGTCGGTCAGTCTGCAACGTGCCGAAGCGCAAATGTGTATTTAAGGATGACTTGTACAAGAAATTTCACACTTTCTGTTCCAGTCGGGACAAGTGTGAGGCTATGGGCAGAGAGTACAAAGCAGACACATATGTTTCGGTGTCCAGTGGGAAAAACATAAAAAGTGCTGCAAAACTTTTTAATGTTTAAAGGTGAGAGTAGCGCAATGTCCAGGCCCCACCTCCTGCCCCCCGTACGGTGTCCTGGTTTTGACAAACGCAAATATGGTCACAATAACCTGTAT